ACGAAGAGTTTAAGGTTTAAATATACATTGGTAGAGAGGTTCAGGGTTTAGGGTTTAGGGTTCAGGGTTTAGGGTTTAGGGTTCAGGGTTTAGGGTTTAGGGTTCAGGGTTTAGGGTTTAGGGTTTTGCTATGCGGGTACAGCTTGTAACGTGGGAACCTGATGGAGCAACCCCTGGTTCTCAGTTGGGCTCTTGATATTGATCCTTCCATTCTCAAGGTATAGAAATCAGATTCCTAAACTAGAGAAATTCACCGTCAAAGATTCGGATGCGAGGCGCTGCCAGTGCCTTCAGAGCAGTGGGATCCATCTTGTCTGGGTCGCCAGTCAGCGCCAGGGTCTCGGATTGGGAAGGTAGCGGTATTTGTGGTCCTACGGTGCACGGTTTCAGACACCAGCTCATGTGTGGAGTAGGAGACAAGATCAGCGAAACCAGATCCACCATGGTCGTTTGGGATGGGTAGCTCTGTGAGTGTGGTGCTTGCTGTGCTGTGCTGAAGAATGGCTTTGAAGCCTCTGTCAAAGCAGACAGACAGGAAAGCCACGAATACGACACCAGCACCCCAACAAGCCCAATAAAGCTTGGCATCTCGCCGAAAACATGTTAAACATGCCAAGCTACTTCAAAACTTTAAACTACCTTCCTCAGTGAAGGTGTACCTTGAAGCATGAGATGCAGAGGCTGTTGAAAATGCATTGCTTCGTCAACCGGGTTTCAACCCCACAGCGCAAGCGATCGGTATAAGTCTTGATGGCATGTAACAGTATCATACTTTAATACCCTTTTTGCAACAGGCTTTCCGCTTCGCCCACTTTAATACCCTAAACCCTAAACCCTAGACCCTAAGCCCTAAACCGTAATTTAAGTCTGTACAAAATAGAATATGTCAACAGAATAATTGGGCTGGGAATGAGGCTGCTTGGATCATGCGCTTCTTCGCCTCGTCCTCGCAGGCTTGCAATCTCAAGCGATCTAGCGGCTGAGTTCCCGGACCCAAACCAAAAGAGCCGTTTAGCTATGGCAGGGTCATACATATGTGTACATTAATTATATATATATACATATATATATATATATGGTTCTGCATACCTGCCCAAATGCTCAGATGACCTCTTCGAAGCCACGACCTCATGGGGGGCTATACCCCACAACTGGGACCCCCACCTTGGAGAAATACACGTGAGCTTACCACGGTTTAGGGTTTAGGGTTTAGGGTTTAGGGTTTAGGGTTTAGGGTTTAGGGGGAACAGCATATCCTCTTATACTCCTTTATGTACGGTTTAGGGTTTAGGGTTTCGGGACTAGGGTGGAACAACATATCCTTTCATACTCCTTTATGTGGTACTGCCGATGATGACACTACATGGTTTAGGGTTAACTTTACGCGTTTAGTTGCCGATGCAAACCAAGCTAGTAGGATCCACCACATGGCCTCTGTTGGGCCGTTCATTGTCTACGAGACATAGCCAGAACCCTATGTCAATCTTACAAAGCCCTCTGTAACACCGTTGTACTACAGGTACCCATATAGTAACCCTTACACTATGTGGGTTCAAAGAGGCCTTCTACAGAATCCTGATTGTATCATGTTCCACCCAGACCGTCTTCACGATTCTAGTTTTCCAAGCCCCTGTACTTGGAGGTTCATGGGTAGTTATAAGTATGGTCATAATAAGTCCCCTGATATGGGCTATAATTATAGTTACCTTACTTATAGCCCCACTTATAACTACCCATAGTAGTAAAGGCCTTCATTCCCAGCTCCGTCCTTGGCCAGGCGCGCATGCTCACGGCGAAGGTCGGCTGCTTTCTTCTCCTGGGACGGCACGGGAAAAGCAGTTTGAGGTGCCACACGGTTCGAAGACGGTTCTAGGAGTGCTGTGCGGTTCTTATTCAAACGCGGGTTCTATAGGATACGGATTCCATAGGGATTCAAGATGTCGCGGCATTGGGGATTTTGGGGGGCGCAAGCAGAGAAGGGTCCAGAGTTTGGGGTCGTGGGAATCCTCAAGAGCAAGTCTGTGCCACCCATGCAACACTCTTGGAAATAAGGTAACCGTCGTCTCAGAAAAGAAAGGACCCAAATCCTAAACTGTGATATCATCATCATAGAAGGTGGCTGCCGCTCTCACAACTCGGAGATGCCAGGCGAGCACAAAAGGTGGTTTAGGGGTTCAGGGTTCAGGCCCTTTAAACAAGACTCCAATTCTAAGCCACCCTCACACGGGCCCTATCACAAATTGCAGCTTGCAGGTAGACATGTCTTCATAAGGGCCCAAGTATATCCTAAATAACCTGATACCATATGGGTGGTTGTCAAAATCATGGTGGTCCCTTATTTGGGTCCTTATTATAATACGGCACCCATTATTTAGGGTACCCCAAAAGGGACCCTACCCTAAACCCTAAACCCAAAAGGGACCCTAATCTTGACAACTACCCCATATGAAGGACCCGTAACAGGCCCGAGGCCGGGACCTGACGCCTGGCTTCCACCAGACGGCGCCAAGCGAAGAAGACCGTCTCGGTGACAGAAGGGTTTAGGGTTTAGGGTTTAGGGGTTAAGGGTTTAGGGGTTTAGGGTTGGGAAGAACGGATCGCTACCCGAAGAAGGTCAACGACACGGGCACATTTGGTGTCTGACACACCCTTGACACTACCACGGCACCTGACATAGCACATGTCGGAAAGGCCGCAGCTTATCAACGGCCCACTCGCAGGTTCCATGTTAGTTCAGGGTTTAGTGTATGATAGGCTGCTACAGGGTCCTGAACAACTAGAAAAAAGGTTTCGGTGGATGTTATAGTACACTCAGAGTACGGAACTCTCCAATACAACGTGTATTCGGGCTTGCTTCTTCTTTTTCAAGTTCCACTTTGTTTCGAAGGACATTTCGTTGAACGGTCCAGCTCAAGCTTTCGGAAGCTTCCGCTGTGGGCGACTCAAATTGTCAGAGAACTTAGCAGGTGGGCTACACACCCTCAACCTTTATGAGCTCCCTTAAGGGGGTTGTATGATTCTATAATAATAAGGCATAAGGGTTCCCTTCAAGGGGATTCTGTCAGGGTTCTTATGGCAGGAATGTATGCAGCTGGAGTTGCAGCTGCCCTCATTTCGGCCGAAAGGCTGGCTGTATGGTCTTCTTCAAGTCGCCCATCCAGTGCATCAGAGTCTGTTGCACCTGGCTTGGGCATCCCACGAGGTTTCCAGCCTCAAAGGCTGCTAAGACTGACACGGCTGTGAAACATGGCGTGCGTGCTTTCGCTGGTTGGTCGAAACCACATGGGATACCAAGCGCAAAAAGACGATCGCCACATGAACCCTTAATAGCAGGAGCCTCATGATAAGGACCCCTAACACAGGGACCTCCAATTTCTGAATCCCCTAAACCCTAAACCCTAAACCCCAAACCCGAAACCCCCCCTCTTCCCCCTTCTTAAACGGCAGCAAGGCCTTGTTTTGTCACGGCGGATGGATGGAGCTAGGCCCCAGGGCTACGGCTACAGATCGGTCTCAGTTGCAGACTCTCGGATGCTGCCTTCAGCATGGAACAGAGCCCCGAAGGGGGCCTCTTGCTGGTGCTTCAGGGTAGTTTGAGAGCAGATCCACTATAGTTCCTCATATTGGTCCGTATATTCTCTCCTCCTGAAGCACCAGAAAGTCCTAGGTCTAGAAAATCTGTCAAGGACAGGCGTCCCACTGCTGCTTGCACTTCGTCTGCATACAATCGTGGGCGGGCTTCAAGTCGACGTTGCCGTCTGTGTAGGATGCCTGGAGATTAACACAAGGGCCTGAAACATCACAATAGGGTTTTTTTGGGTATATTCCTGTACAACTGTAAAGAGGAAACCTATCTGAAATAGTGTCAGTAATTCTACAAGGGTCTGAAAGGCAACTGTTACCATTCCTCGGGGTTCCTCCATATACACCCAAAACCCGGTTCCAATCTTTCAGGCTTCTACATACCCAGCCCTTACAGTAACCGCTCATAGTCGCCCTTAAAGGAACTCTTTTGGATGAGCCGTTAAAAAAGAACCCTCAAAAGAACTTGGCTGACCTCTGAACCCTTCCTACAAGCTAAACTTTTAGCCTACTCATTATAGCTTTAATAGAAACCCCAAAAAGTTCAAGTCCTCAGGTGGGTTCCCGCTATGGGAGCCTTATAGAAGGTCTATAGACCTTATAGAAGCCTGATATACCCTAAACTCCCCACCTGTAGTTTCCTTCAATCAAAAAGATCCTTCGTTGAATCAACCCCGCCTTGAGATTGCAAACGTCCGTGGCTGCGCAGTCGAAGTTCACCTTGTCGTTGCAGCCTTCGCCTTTGATCCACGAAGCTGTGGCCCACTTGCCTGGGGTCGGCATGGGGCAGGGGCTTTTGCCGGGGGGGGGTTGGGATGCTTTACGGTTTGGGGCCTTTTTTTGTTTTTCCCGAGGTAAAACCCCAAGTATAAATTCATCAACATGCCTAAGAAGCTCCACAAAACATATATGCACTCGCCACGATTCCCTAATATCCCTACCTAGCTCTACCTCATGTACAAGCCCAAAAACAACATCCAGAAACACCAAACGGAACAGGCAGCCGAGTGTCAAATGCACCAGTAGGGCTTCTGTGGGGGGCAAGCGATCCTGACTTGCCGAGCTTTTTTCGGATTTAGGACTTTGGGGGTTTTCGGGGCGTTTTCCCACCCGCCCGGCTCCAAGTCGCATCGCAGGGGACTGGGCCTGAACTGGAGATTGAACACTAAACCCTAAACCCTAAACCCTAAACCCTAAACCGCTACAGGTGCGAGCCCGAGGGAACCCCACACTGCTCCCAAAGTCTGAAGCCAACCAGCGGTCACTGAGAAGGAGTGAGGTACAGTACTGGTTTGCTTCGGGTTTTAGGGCTCAGGGGGTTAAGGGTTTGGAACTGTGAGGTTTAAGGTTTTACAGTTGTTTAAGGCGTTTAAGGGGACCACAGTAACTAACCTTTCAGGATTATGTAGGGATGCGACTACCCCCCAAAAAGGTGAAAGGATACCTACTCTACGGCCAAGCATCAAGCCATCGCCGTAAATGTCCGTGTTGCACCAGCTGCTCTGGCCCGTGAACTCCCAAAAGGATGTGCCTTCCACGCCGATCTTTGCGCACACGCGGTGGGTGTCATCCTTGTTGCACCTCCGCAGAAACATGGAAACGTGAAGTTAGGTTCGAAGCAGGCACACCGGGCCTTGTGGCTAGCGCTAGGGTTTAGGGTTTCGGGTTTAGGGTTTAGGGTTTAGGGTCTTGGGGGGCTTTAGTCCGGTGGCCTCCCATCACCCCGGGTATCCCCCGGGCACGCTGCGACGTCGCCAGCCAGGAAGCGCGTGCTGGTCACGTTCACTGCCGCTGCGAAGGGCAGAAGCAACACATAGCCAAGAAAACGAGCCATGCTGTCAACTTGGCTGGTAGTACCTTACCAAAGAAGATTGCGTTGTCGTCTTGGGCCACCACGCAACGGCAACTTGTGGGACGGTGAACAGATGGATTCTGACATAAAAACGCAGCCCAAGGCGACACTCAACCGGGCCGCAAGCCTGAACCCACAAGGTTTTGGTTGATGGGCGTGTCTTTCTGCAACAGCGCCTCCGACAGTCCAAAGCGACCCTTCGAAACTCACATCACCTGAGAACTAAACCTCCGTGTTTGACCTTCGGTTGAGCACGAACCCCCCGCTTCCCCCCACAGCCTTAGAGGCTCTTTCGTAGCTATTGCTCTTAAACCTAACACCCCAAGTCGAAACGTGGTTGGCAGCGCCTGCGCTTGCTTCATCTTGGACCTAGTAGCTTCGATCTTCGAAGCCCAAGATTTTTGGGAGGGTTCTGGATTTGGTACGGGAATATGCAGGACTTTGTGCTGCGGCTTCGGGGGTTCAGGATTGAAGTTTTCTTGAGAATAAGAGCTCCTGGATCCTAAACTTTCAACCCTGAACACCAAGCCCCAAGCCCTTTTCGGAAAATGAAACCCTAAACCCTAAACCCTAAACCCTAAACCCCTAAACCCCTAAACCCTAAACCCTAAACCCTAAACCCTAAACCCTCCTGCGCGCTTCCAGGTGTAGGGACTTAGGACTTAGGACTCAAGGCTTCTGGAGAATGGCTTCGGCTTTAAGCGTTAAGGCTATTTAGGGTTTAGGGTTTAGGGTTTAGGGTTTAGGGTCTGCGGGGTCATCCAGGAACTGCGTAGCAATAGCCCGTCATCCCCCAACAAAACTTTCAAATTCTTGACAGCAGCCTTATACAGTCCTTCTGACTCCCTTAAGCCTGTTTTTTGATCGCATATAGAATAGAAAAGAATTACCTTCTGAAACCTTTCGAAACCCCGGTATATACAACCCCTACAGACATCGTTGCGAAATCCGCAAGACAACCTTTTCGAACTTGGAGCTGGGTGGATGAAATCGAAGCCCTGCCTTAACCCCCAATGACCTACGTTTTGAAGAACTTTTGTCACGAAATCATAATATAAGGAGTCCCAAAAAAGGTAGGTTTTTAAGGGTCCAAGTGAACTCTGAACCCTAAACCCTAAACCCTAAAGCACGCGCGAGGCTTTGGCTTCTCCTTCTGGAACTTCCCCTCCTTGCTGACGGATCTCCAGGCTTCCATGACCTCAGGAAATGACGCTGGCACGCGTGTAGGGCTGAGGGGTTTCGACTCTCACACTCGCACAAGGCCTTGCGGTTTAGGGTTTAGGGTTTAGGGTTTGGGTGTAGGGCTGAGGGGGCTTGGGCATTCTTGCTGAGGGGATTTGGGGTTTAGGGCTTTAGATTTTGCCAAACCCGAAATCCCAAGGTGTAGCCTCTTGTGTGGGTTGGAGGGTTGTTCACTTCAGATGCGCGTGGCACGCTTTCGGTGTGATGCCTGGAAGTTGCTTGGGCTTGCAGTAAGTAAGGATTTCCTCTTTCCTCTGCTGTTTCTTGCGTGAGCCCAAGCTTTTTAAGCCCGGGCCCTAAACCCTAAACTAAACCCTAAACCCTAAACCCTAAACCGGAACTCCTGAATCCGAAGCCTGAAAAACACCCGACAGAATCCCCCACAGTCACATCGCACCCTCACAGCCTGGAAGGAACCTTTGCAGAACCGAAAGCTCAGAAAAAAAAACTAAACACCCTTGCTTGCTTGGAGCTTCATGGGTAGTTTTTTAGTGGGGCTATAAGTAAGGTAACTATAGTTACAATCCATATTAGGGGACTTATAACCCCACTTATAACTACCCATGAACCTCCAAGCCCTAAACCCTAAACCCTAAACCCTAAACCCTAAACCCCAATAGAACCCCTTAAACACCCTAAACCCTAAACCCTAAACCCTAAACCCTAAACCCTAAACCCTAAACCCTAAACCCCAATAGAACCCCTTAAACTTATAACTAGCCAGGAACCTCCGAGTCCGAGTGCCCCTCGTCTGGGCAGTGGGCCGTTCGGGCCTGCTGGGCGTGGGTCGCCTGCGCCAGGCCTCCAGGGTTTAGGGTTTAGGGTTAAGGGTTTAGGGTTTAGGGTTTAGGGTTTAGGGTTTAGGGTTTAGGGTTAAGGGGTTTAGGGTTTTTTTTTTTTGCCCTTTTCCCTCAAGCAATCCACCGTCAGGAAGCCCATTCGGGGGTTTAAGGTGCGTTTAGGATTTAGGGACATGGGCCCTTAGGGGATTCTAGGGTCCCATAAGGGTATATATAGGGTATATAGTAGGTATATTAGGGTCCCAGGGCTACGGGCTCATACTAGAAACCCATGGGTTCTACCTTAGACTCCAGCTGAGCTCTTGCGCTGGGCTTCAGAGTTCGGGGCATGCTCTTTAGGGCTTTAGAGTTTGGGGCATGCTCTTTAGGGCTTTAGGAGTTTGGGGCATGCTCTTTAGGGCTTTAGAGTTTGGGGCATGTTCTTCACTGGGCTTTAGAGTTCGGGGCATGTTCTTCAGGGCTTTTAGACACGTCTGACTTCACTGTTTTGCTCTTGCTATTATGTCATACTCGCTCGGCAAAGCCCACAGGCACGTAAACAAGCTCCAAACACTGAAGCCAAAGCATCCAATGCCTCAGTCCCTAAACTATGAAACCAAACCCTCAACAGCTGCCTCCCACCACGGCGTTGATCTTCGACCTTCCGTGGGTGACAATGGCTCTTCACGACTTTTATGCTCCAAAACCGATGCGTGGTGTGCAGCATGCAGAACATGATGCAATGACGTACCACAGCTCTACTCTACGTACCCGAACATCTTCTGGCTCCGTGCGCCAACATTCGAATGCCGATGCTCAACGGCTTCTGTTTCCTTTAATTAGGAGGGTTCCAGGGTCTACTTTACGACCTACAACGCGTCCCTGGCACTACCATTGCCAAGCCTGCAGGTGAACTGCCTCGCATCCCCAACATCCTTTGCATGTGGACTTGTACAATCCCCAGAGACTGCCAAGCCTCCCAAAGCCCGCAGATCCTAAAGCCCCAAACTCCTAACCCTAAACCCTAAACCCTAAACCCTAAAGCCTGACCCTGGACTACCAAACAGCGAGACCCGGGCTGGAGCACGGCCCGAGACCTGGCTAAGCGAAGCTCGGCTTTGTGGATTGCACAGTACGTATATGCATGTACAGACATTTTGAGCACGCTCACTCGAAGCTGTTACACACACATACGTACATGCATGCATGCATGGCATGCATGCAAAGCATGCATGCATACATGCAAATAGGTCTATGTATTCTCTATATATATATATATATATGTATATATATAATAGCGAGAGAGAGAGAGAGAGTCATCTAAATATGCATGTATGTATAGGCAATGCCCAACATGTAATTGATGCTGCAGGTGTGGCCCAAACCGACAGGAGGCTGTTGCATGCTTGTGATGCCACGCCCATTTTTGCTCACCACAACGCTCATTTTGAGAGCGGTTGGGAATCATCTCGGTAAACCTAGGATGGCGAGGCAGCAAGTGAAGGCCAGCAACCTTTCCGACACAATGGACGATGAAGTAGGTTGCATCTTCATCTGCCTACAAATTTGTCTAATTAATTGCGAACACAAACACTAGCATATGCTTGTGGGTATAAACATAACCTAACATTATGAAACGACTAAGTGCGTATAGATATATGCACGTTTATCGATAAAGTAACATAGATGCAAAAACATATCCATCCGTTTGTCTACATACTGAGAATGTAAGCCGATGCTCGCACTGTGTTCCGATCACCAAAAGTCTTCGGTCACGATCCTCCGCACTCTCTTTTCGTAGACACGGGTCTGCGGACTTAGTACGTAGGTTGGTTGGAAACAGCGTTACGCGGACCGCAATCGGCGTTTCCTTCCCCTGACCCTCTAATTACACGAGCATCATTGCAGTAGTTCACACTGTATAAGACTACCGAAGGAAGTCGGTTGTGCCGTCTCACACCACTGATTTGTCTTTCCAACACCACCCCGCGGCTGAACCGAAGTTCGATAGCCCTGAGCACTAAACACCACCAAACTAAACCCTTGAAAACAGCAACAGCCCTCCATGGGTCTCTTGCGAGCCTGCGTGAGGCTGCCTCCTACAACAGTTTCGAGGCGCAAGACCGAGGAGTCTGCAACGCACCTCGTCAACCTAGCAAACAGCGGACACTTCGGAGCGGAGCAGGAAGTCGAGCTTCCAAATCCGAGTCCGTCCGGGCTCCTGCGTAGCCCGCCGGCCGAAGAAATCACAGCTTCCTTAAGAACCCCAAACCCACTTTTTTGTAGGTTCTTATTATAAACCCTAATATGGGATTTATAGGGACCCTACAAAAAAGTAGGTTTTGGGTTCTTAAGCTTCAGCTTGGAGGAGCAGGTCTCTACTGCCTCCCCCGGCCAGACCAAGTGGCCAGCTGCGCGCAGCAACTTCAAGGGTTTAGAGTTTAGGGTTTATGGTTTAGGGTTTAGGGTTTAGGGCCTGAATTATTCGAGTCTGATGTTCGAGTAAGTACGCGCCTAGAGCGGCATATTGCTACTGCTTGTTCAGACTTGTTGAGCCTGATCTTGTCGAAGCTCACGTAGAACTCGAAAGGGCTCTAGTGTGGATTCGGCTGTCGAGTCGCTCTTTTCCAAACCTCCAGCACGAGTGTGCCTATCGTTCGGCAGTATCACAGGTAACCCTACCTTAAGAACCTAAAACCCACTTTTTTGTAGGTTCTTATTATAAACTCTAATATGGGATGTATAGGGACCCTACAAAAAAGTAGGTTTGGGGTTCTTAAGGTAAACCCTAAACCCATCAGCACGGATCCCGCAACTGAAGCCTTTTGCAACTGGCCCACTGCGACTCTGCCAGGGCGAACACTTGACCGCAATCACTTAGTTAAAGGAAACCACAGGTGGGGAGTTTAGGGTATATAGGGCTTCTATAAGGCTTCTATAAGGTATAAAGACCTTCTATAAGGCTCCTATAACGATAACTACCCACCTGAAAATGTCCTAGACTTAGTGAGTAAGGCGCAGCTGAAGCCATAAACCCTAAAACCGCGAAGCCCAGGACTGCCGCTGACGGTTTCTGTCAGGGCACTACTGGCGCTCTCACGCTCAGTGCAAGCGCTGTCCGGATGCCACCTGCGCCAACAGGATTCAGGAATTAGGGTTTGAGGGTTCAGGGGCTTAGAAATCTAGGGTAAGGTCTAGGAATCTCGAGATCACAATGAACCCAGATGGTTGCAGTTGCGAAGTCAGCTTGTGTTGTCTCATCCTTCTGGAAACCTGACTGAAAGCCATCCACTCAGTCCAATGATCCTTCGGGTGGTAAGCCCCAAACCGTTTTCGAGCCTTAAGCCCTCCCACGTAGCAAGCAACCCCAACTATCTTGTTGACCCTTAACCCTCACGCTCCCCGAAGCCTCTGCAGCATAGGGATGGAGCGCAGTGCAGTGGTGGCTGCGGCCGCGCCAGCATTGATTGTTCCTGGATCTGCTCTTCTAAAAACTGGCCGCAGAACACTGCGAATAGCAAAATTCTACCCAAAGAAACTAGCAAGATATCAACGTTGCAACACGGCTGTTCTATGAATCTCGCAAGAAATACAAACGCAGTACTTTCACATCCCACCACAGACACGGTCACAGAGCCCCAGCTTACGGAAAAAGTCCACATTGCAGTCGCTCTATGGGTGAGGAAAAGAGCATAAAGTAATACCGAGGTCTGAATAGTCAGCCAGAATCTGCCAGCACAGTCCCTATATATTTGTAGGCTGATATGCCGGAAAGCGCTGTTCTAATCCTGATCACTTAGGTTCTATTTTCTACTTCGAGTATTGTAAAAGCGGCATCGGCGCCGACATGGGAACCCCTCCGAGAGCTGATGGACGAACAAGCGGCATGGAATGGGCTCCGGCTTGTTGCGGCTTGTTGGCCACTGCTACAAAAATCATTACACTCTCACACCTCGGACTAGCCAGGCGAGGACTTACAAAAATCGTTTTGGTTTCCAGGGTCCTAGACGAAGGGTTCCTGAAACCCCGTCAGATTTTAACCCTGAGCGCCCTAATTAAACCCTAAACCCTAAACCCTAAACGGAGCGCCCGGAGTCCTCATGACCTGCCAGACGCTGCAGTACTCATCGTCGCAGCAGTTCTGTCGGCAGTGCGCCGCGGATGTTGCGTTGACATCCTGGGCCAGGCCAGCTGCACTTGACCACCATCTGCCACAGAACGACGCAATCGCAATCCCCCCTCCTGTACCTCGAACATCAACCCAGAAGGGTTCACACGTCATGGTGCCAAGAGGTGTGCTTCCCAGGATCTCCAAAGTGGCTCTGCACATCGCTATGGCCGCTATGATACTGAAAGCTTGGAGAAAAGCCGAGGGTCGTGGGCCAAGCCAAAACATACAACCTCATCGAGCTCCTGTTGCACCATGGGCTAGGACGGCTAGGAGATACCAGCACCGACAGAGGGCTGTCCGAGATGAGGGCAGAAGACATCATCGCCTTGTTTTTTGTTTTGATGCTATAAGGGCCTTCATCATTCCGATGGGGCTTTGGGGTACAGTGTGCCATACTATCCTCTCGCCTTTCAGAAGGACCGTTTAGCCTCGGTGGGGTCGCCCATCCGTGCGAGACAGGATCATGAACAATTTGGCGCGTGCTCCCTTCTCCACCTACACAAGCAGACAAAGGCTTAACCTCTGATAATAAGGCGAGTTGTCAGAGGGCAGAAGGTTGGGTGTTTGAGGACACGGTTTGGACATCCACTGACAGAGGAGTTGCCAGACGGCTCTGAAGGTCCTCGCAGAGGGGTGAGTTGCTATGGCCTTTCTTGCTTCTGGACTTGTGCAATGGCCAGAGACTGATGCCCTAAACCCTGATTCCCAAGCTCAAGACCTCAGCCCTGACATCTCCGAAGTCCTCCATTCCCTAAACCCTAAACCCTAAACCCTAAACCCTCAGCCCTGACATCTCCGCAGTCCTCCATGGTGGTGCAGCTTGCCGCCGGCAGCAGCTCCTGAACAGACGAATGCAAGGGAATCAAGAACGAGAATAAGGCAACACTAACGAACTAGGGTTTAGGGTTTATCTTTTAGGGTTTAGGGTTTAGGGTTTAGGGTTTAGGGTTTAGACACTCACACTCAAAACCCTTTTTTCGCTCTCGCATTGCTGAGAACTATGCCCACGGCGAGGTTTGCTTGGGAGTACAGTTGTTGCAGTAATTTAGCAGCTCAACTGATTATCAAGCTGCACAGTCCGCGCAAAGCTGTAAACACACAGTACCACAAATTACCTGAGAAGCAATAACTACAATCAGTTGCAATTGCAGTCACAACATGTGTTACAGCCTTGCGTGCATCCAATCAGTCATCATGAACATGCATGCAAATGCATATCCGTGGTCGGCCCCGGCAAAATGCCGATAGGACCGCCTCACTTAAGCAGCACCACTTCACTCAAGCAGCGACGTCACATCCGACTTCATGTCCGTCGTTCCTGTCTTCCGTGCTGAATCCATTCTGTGACAATGTAGCCAAGACCCAATGCCAGCATCCACATAAAACCAGTGGAAACACTCGAGAAAGCCGACCAGTCTGAGAGTCTGTCAGGTTCCACATGTATTCCCTGCAAGAACAGTGCCACTAGGGCACCCACGATCGCTTGCACATCTTTTCTAAGCAGTCGTGCAAAGGACAATACATGCGTCTCCACAAGCGCTCGAAAACTGTCCAGCCTCGAGATGCCGTCAGGTTCCACATGATTTCTTGCAGAAACCAGACTCGACAGCAGATCAGGGCACCAATCATGGCTCCGCACATCCTTTTCAAATCAGCCAGTCACGCAGACCATACACAAGCCTCCGTTCCCAGTTTGTGCGTCCAGCTCAATTTCGACAGTCCCGGTATCAGTCTGATATCGGCTTTCCATCCTCCAGCTCTTCAGCATAAGAGCAGCCTCGCCACCATATATGCAGCTTACCACGGAACGAGTGCAACCATCCAGTAGCTTACCCACCGAGGGCCACCCAAAGCGCATCCATTGCAAGCCATGGCGCTCCTATTTTTTTTTGTTTCAGATCACCCTGGTAACCCCGAGGAATAAGCGTTGAGAGGTTTCCAGGGGATCCCGGCGAGGCAAAGCAGTGGAGCTGTGGAGGAGAGCATAGCAGCACTGAAACATGGACACCGAAGTGGACACCGAAAAACCCTGAAGTGAGCAGCAGCAGTTGGCAAGGGGCATCAGAACCTATGAGGGTTAGAGAATAAGGCAACACTAAAGGACTACGACTAGGTTACTTCAATGATTTCAAGCAAGTTCAGAGACAATCCGAAACATCATCTAGTTTGCAGAGGCGTATTCCGAAGATAGAAGTCTATACACGTATTCGGGAACCCTGAAAAGTGCCGTTACCAATACCCAAGGGCCTATATTATCTCGAGATCCCCTGTACTGATTCCCGACCACGCTTTCACTGCAGGTCCTTTCGCAGCCCGCAGTAGGCATCGTGCCTGGGGATGTCGCTGTTCCTTGGCTCAAAGTGCGGTCCGTCTGACAGACCTAGCCTCAATGCGCTTGCAACCACGAATCAGCCGACTTACAAAACCCCTTCTTGTGGGCCAAAGCTCGTGTCCCGTGGTGATGGGTCGTTATGTTACGGGTCCTTGCTTGCAAGACAAGGTACAGAACTCCAAAGGAGTAGCCGAAGAGAGCGTTGCCGATGAAGTGGGCAAGGGCCCCGCCCATCAGTGAGAAATCCTGCAAGGCTTTACAGTAAACTCAGTTTCAGCTGCTCCGCATTGCAGTCAACGAGGAAGATGCTCAAGCTTGAAGAGAAGGGCGACAGAGACCTTACCCTTTCAACCCTGAAGCCAGCTTTGGATTGCTTTTCGGTCCAGAGGCTGCAGGCCAGACCTTGAACACCGCGACTGCCCACATGGGGGATTTCTCAAACATGAGGGAACCTTGTTTCCCAAGGAAGCGGAAGTCTAGGGTGGAACTTTTAGAAGAAATGCTAGCTCGAAAGCATAAATGCAATTCACACTGCGGCTCCTCCATTGGCCCTAAACCCTAAACCCTAAACCCTAAACCCTCCTCCATCTTTGAGTTTACCCCCTTCATGGCTCCAGGGACATAGAGCTCCTTGGACCATTGGAGCCGAAGAAGAGCTCGGAGTTCCCAAAAGCACCGAACACGGCTCTGCGTTTGGCGCTGCAAGGCTTCAACATCCAAGAACTACGAGCATGAATCGCTAGATTTCGGCTTGAGGGAGGGATATATTTTGGCATCGTGACGCAAAGACTCCAAGTGGACATTATCCCTAGTTATTCCGACTTCTCTAGAACCCGAAAACCATCGCAATTTAGGCCCGGATGCACTGGAAGGGCAAACGTGGGTCCACCTGCGACATCATGTTTTCGGGTTTTGGTGTTCTGTGGATTTGGGCCCAGGCTTGAGAGCAGCGTTGGAGAAAGGAGGTAAGCCCAACATCAGAATGCTGTTTACACTGCAGCAGGTGCCCAAGAACAAAGTGCTACTTTTGAATCAGCTCCCTGACACTCCTATGCTCCCCCTTGCGATTAAGGATTGGTGGTGTGTGTGGTTGATTTCTGATTGGCTTTTCAGATCGCAACAAAAAGGGTCGCAGAATGGGATTCAGTGCACGAACGCGACAATGATCGCGACATCGTAGAACCCTGCTTCCCAAGCCCCCAACGAAGAATGGCAGCCTGACTTTCAAGTTGCGGAGAACTACAAACTGCCGAACCCAGATTGGGACCAGATTTAGCACCACCAAAAACCCAACACGATGTAAGACAGCACCCCTGTCGAAGACCCCACAAACAGCCAGTAAGCCTTTAAAGACAAAAAACAGGGTTTCCGCTCTTGCCAAACAAGGTCTCTCATAGTCGTTAAACACAAGGTTCAGGGTTTTGGGGTTTATAGGTCCCCAGAAGAGAGCAATCTGTGTGGCCTCTCACTTGGGTGCAAGGCTTTCGGCCCGCTCGCCAGCTGACCCAGGCACTGGATCACATTCTGAAAGCAGTAGTTGAAGGTGTCCTTAATCTTGGATTTAGGGCTTAGTGTAGGGGCCTTAATAATTAGAATAGGGCTTTGGGCTCTGTTATGCCATAATCCTAACAAGGAACCCCAAAATAGTATAGGTAATTAAAGGCCCCTATATTACGCTCCTTAATCGGATTTGAGGCCTTGGGGCGTATAGCCCCTGTCTGCTGAGTGGATTCGGGAGTGTGCGGGAATTCAGGGTTCGACTCTAGGGTCTTATGGTTCTCGCTTGGAGGGAGTTATACGTCCCCCCATATGGGTTATAACTACTGGTACATTTTTAGTTACCCTACTTATAAGCCCATGTATAACTACCCATGAACCTCCAAGTGGGGGCGATCAACTTGCAGGGTCTACTGGGGGGCTTTCTAACTTCGCTGGGGTCCTTGTTCTACTAAGATGCTACTGCATCTGTCTACTGTTGGGTCTCTTACCTCCGGAACTCCCAGTGGGTTTCGTGCTTCTAGGTTGGGAACTTTCGCATTTGAAGCTTCGGTTCAGAGCTTTCGGGTTCAGGGTTTCGAGTTGCGGGGTGCGGTGAGGGAATCTTCCAATCATCTGGGGTTGAAGGTCTGGGATCTGAGGCCCATTTACTCGATTTGTGAGGCTGCTGGTTTACGGCTTTCGGTCCAACTTGGTCAGGAGACTCTCGGAGTGATAAGGGCCATGCGAACTCAGGTGGGTCGTTGAAGTTCGTGCCTTTCCCAAAATCTTCCCAAACCTCCTAGCCTCTCTTGGAGGTTCATGGGTAATTATAAATGCGGTTATAAGTAGGGTAACTAGAACCAAACTTATAACTACCCATGAACCTCCAAGCTTTCCTCAAAAAACGGATCTCACGTGAATGCCAAGCAGCCATCAGCTGCAAGGGCTCCATGAACGGCATGTAGGTGATCACCTTTCGATCGCTCCAAGGATCAGCGGGCATGGTAATAGGCGCTTATGTCTCCACGTAGAGCTCCCCTGAGCTGAAAATTAGACTCACAACCCCAACTCAACCTCCCTAGACCCTTAAACCCTAAACCCCTAAACCCTAAACCCTAAACCCTAAACCCAAAATCTTAAACCCTAAACCCCTAACCCTTAACCCTCAAACCCCTAACCCCTAAACCGCAACTCCTCCCCAAGCTCCAGGCCGAGGGCTCGCTTTAAGGATCCCGGGACTTTTCTGACAGGTAGGGTTTAGGGTTTAGGGTTTAGGGTTTAGGGTTTAGGGTTTAGGGTTTAGGGTTTAGGGTTTAGGGTTTAGGGTTTAGGGAAACCACACAAACCGGACCGGGGCACTCGTAGAGACAGTCAGAATCCACTTGCTACATCCCCAGAGGCTCCAAGTCCCAAACATTGCAACAAGTATCTAGAAGATGTCACTCATGGCAAAAATGCACTCTGTATGATGTATACCATCTATCTATCTATCTATCTATCTATCTCTCTCTCTCTCTCTCTATCTATCTATCTATCTATCTATCTATCTACCTATCTAACTACCTATCTATCTATCTATCTATCTATCTATCTATCTCTCTCTCTCTCAATCTATCTCTCTCTCTCTCTGTCCATCTATCTATCTATCTATCTATCTATCTATCTTTTTTATGTACGTGTATATAAACATACCTTCATGTGTATACCATACATACGTACATACATACATACATACATACATACATACGTGCAAGCATACATACATACATACATACATACATACGTACGTACGTACGTACATACGTACGTACTTACGTACGTACGAGTGATGAGTGTTTGTGCTCACATACCTGTATGTGTGTGTGTGTGTGCGCGTGTGCTTTTATTCAAGCGGCATCGTTGTAGACGGACACACGCAGCAGCTTCTTGCAGAGGTCTCTGGACTCCCACCACTGACCTTAAGCAGAAGGCAAGTCGTAAGCTCAATACGTAGAATTTTGGGCTCAAGGCTGACAAGGCTTGTAGGGCTCGCAGGTTTCGTTTTGAAGGGTTTAAGGGTTTGGGACATCCTGCGGTTCCTTTGAAACATAGTGTCTTGGAACCTGAGATTGTGAACACAGGAGAAAAAATCGGAGCTTGGGATCCGTCGGCACCCGGCACCCGGCCGTCATTCAAAGAGCCACAAACATGAACGAAGCTCACACAAGCTTCTTCCATCACAAAATCAAAACTTTTGAAGCTACCCGACTTGAAACCCGCACCCCTAAGACCCAAGCCCCCGGCCGCCCCCATATTCTCATCCCCGAGCCCCGAAACGCTAAATCCCAAACGATAAACTTTAAACCCCAGGCCGTGAACTTAAAACTCAAGCCTCTAAACCGGAAATCCGCAGCTCGAAGCCGGAAAACCCTCCCAAGTCCATCATTTAATCCCCCGTTTTAAACTCTATGAAGACTCTTTGTAACCCTTTTAAAACTTTATGCTTTACACACACCCTTAAAGAAAAGCTGATGACTTGATGCCAAGGTGCTTAGCCCTTTGTCCCCGACACGAGGCGCAGCAAAAGCGATGACCGCGTCGGGCAGGCGAGGCCAGGATTCGGCCTGTTTCTGTGGGGTGAGGGCTTGGGTTTTAGAGTTGAAGTTAAGATTTTTGGGATTTGATAGTTTACACTGCTGAAGGCATTGGGTTTCAAAGACGTTTCGCAAGGGTTTACGAAGGCTTTGCAAACACTCCTGAGGGTTTTTCGGCACTCACAACTTGGACACTCCGTTTGGGGCATCAGGTTTTGGACTTTCGCACCTCGGACAATGCCGGCGAGGATAATTCGGTTCGAAAGGGGAGTGCAGGTCGGTTTCATGTGGGCTCATGCATCCTTATAACGCTCAGAGACTAGGCCCCAAATATCCCCAAATGACGTTCAAATGTATGACATCCCCTACTTGTGGGGTCTCGTCTCGAAGCCACGGTCCACGATCATGACTTTCGAGCAGCAACTTCGGAGGTCATGATGGCGGCCGATCAAACAACAGGATTCTTGCTCACTGCGGTGGCAGGATAATGCTACAACATTGCTAAAAGTAAGCTCGGATAGACTGAACATTCACAGAAACACACAAGCAGGCATGCTGCCATGCTGCGCACCCCTTCGCCACAAACAAGCCAATGTATGGATGCCTAGAAAGCATAGGGGCCAATTGAAACAACACGACACGAACCAGGTTCGCAGGCTGCAAGTGGCCGCACTCACTCTTGGCAGACGGGAGCGTCCGCCTTGTTGGACTTAGTAGCATGTCATTCGGCGCGTCGTGCAAGATTACTCTGGTAAAGTCAGGGTTGCACCGGTGCACCTCATGCAGAAAGCAGGTACCATGTTTTGAAGTAATTAGTCCATAGCTTGCAGACCGTGCAGAATCGCAAAGGCAATCGCGCAAATTCGCATGTATAAAGCCACCGGTGTTCCCGAGGACTGCGTGCCCCTCGTAGGACGCAATAGCAGCTGCGTAGGTTCGCATGCATCGAACCTGGCAAATCCGGGTATGAAAAGCGCATGACGTCCATGCATTCATAGCCAGGTTCATCATGCAAAAGAGGCGGCACCATCACTTGCACTGAGGTGGTCCGGGAAACCGCGGAGGGCACCACTAGCGTGCACATGCCATGCCAACCCCGCAGCAGCAGCGTCAATGCTGCCCAACGGCATTATCAATCTTGGCATGGCCCGGCTCAAAGTGCCAGTCACACTCCAGAAACCACATGGCTTCAGTTGCAATGTGGCTTGCTTTTGCAAACTCACGGTCAGGGACCGGATGGTCTGCTGCAGCATAGGGTCCATACTCTTGGCAAGGGCCCAGGAGCCGGATGATTCAGGCCCGGCAAATGTAAAGGAAGGTGGTCTCTCGCATACGCCAGGTATGCAGTAACCACCCTGCAAGAAAGCAGCAGCAGCGGCCCTGCTTCCAGGCCATCCAGTAACCAAACCCATCCTTCCACCCCGCAACCAGTATACAGGACAGGGCGCGGCTGAAGCTGTCGGCTCAGCCGCAACGTCATTTCATGGCTTGCCCACGAAGAGTGCTCAGGCGTCGCAATCAACTACACCATGTCCATGGCCATGGCGGCACGGTATACCGCAGTTTACCCACTGGCTAAATACCATCCGTGCCTACCACTCCATGGCAGGTCTTAGGAGGTTAGGGCTGCGCGGACGAGATTGATGGATGTCCACAGGAAAGCATGCACATGAATTCTTGTGGGAAGGAGCAATACTCTCGCAACCAACCAAACTTGAGCAGAGAAACCAGGATACCAGATGGCAAAGTTAAGGGACAGAGAATGCCCCGGACGCTTTCTTTTTCTGCGCGGGTGGAGATGCCGGACACGGCGAAGTAACACCTAGTGAACAATCGCAAGATACGGTGAAAGAATCGAGTACTGTAGGGGTCATTGCATCGTTTCCCACCCTAAGGTCCAAGTTCACCTTGTATTTGGACGCTCCTAGCCGGAACAGATGGTGGAAAACCGTACCAGGTCAAGCGGGTGGGCCCAAAGGGATTAACTAAGCATAAAAAAGAACTTTCTGGAGGTCCACAACAAGGAAGCTTCCATGTCGGCGCATCTCGCTGTGATGTACTGCTATATCCCTCTGCTGCACCTATTTGTTGAGGGGAGGATCATCGAGGTGTGCTTGGGGGCTGTCAAGCACTTCAATACTCCAATGAGTTTTACAGGGGGTCTAGCTTGGTTGCCGCACACGGGACTTCAGGGAAACCAAGGCTCAACCGCAACAAGGACGGCTGTTATGCACCCCGCAGTGCACTTCCCCAAAGCACCTGTGCTGGCAGCTGAGCCATGGCCAAGCGCCGGCCGGTAGTGGCAATTGCGGGCAGTAAAATCGAAGCTCTAGCAGCGCTTGACGTTGGCGCTTTTGCGTTTTTGTGCAGCACCTCGATAAGCGGCAGCGCATGTGCCAGTGGAGCCGTGGCAACCAGCACCTCCGGCACCGGTGGTACCAGGCAAGGCGCCACGGCTGCGGCAGGCACCGTGGAGGGCGTCTGCACCACTGCCTCCACAGCGAATGCAGACGTTGGGGAGGACGTCCCTGAGTTGGTTGTGCAGCAGTGTCGTACGAGAAGAAGCTGCATGGGGATTGCGGAAGGGTTCGCTGCCAAAGGCCCGAAGCTGCAGACGGTCGGATGCAATGGCAGAGAAAAAAAGCCAAAACGGCAGAAGTTTTGGGGTTTACGCTGTGACACTCGGACTCTGCCGATGAGGTTCGCAAGTCGGCTGGGTGAAACATGACATGACATGAGTGTGTACTGGAACTACATGGCATTAACAGACAACGACTGTCTGACACTGCATTCAAAGGTTCAAGGACACCGCGTGGAAAGCTGCAAGTGAAACTGGATTTATCATGTAGTGGTGGGCCAGACCCTTTTACATGTTTTCAACAAGCCTATGGTGATGTATCACAATCTGTACACGGCAGGCGGAGGGGGCTCTATACAAGGGAGTCGTCTGGTCAAGCCTCCAGGGTCAGCGGGCGGGGCATGTGCCATCAGGGAAAGAACAGAGTCTATTCACATCACCAAACGGGTCCCGAAACAGTCAATGCAGAATACACATAATAAGCGCTGGCTTTTGAACGGACGACGCGCCCAAGTCCGGCAGTATCAAAACGTATGGTGGTCTACAGCTTCCCCCCCTTCGGCTGAGTAAGAGTAAATCGCCCAATATCATCCGCTAGGTGGCGCTTCACCGTAAACGACAGATATGCGCACCAGTGGTTCAAGTCTCGTCCGCTGAGAGTCGGATGCGTCCGAGGGTTTCGTCCAGCTGCGAAGGCCCACAGAAAGCAATTGCAACGAATTCGCGAATTCTGAGTCTTCCAAATTCAACAAATAAAATCCGGCACGAAACTTCGCAGCGCGTTGGAACGGCCATCACGCTCCACAACACTGGCAGCCGAGACCAGCCATCTCGTCGCATATGCACAGGGTTTAGTGTTTAGTTGATCTAAAACACCATTACTTGGAGGTTCATGGGCAGTTATAATCAGGGTTATAAGTAGGGCAACTATAGTTATAACCCATATTAGGGGACTTATAACCATACTGAACAACTACCCATGAACCTCCAAGCACAACGAGAATGGAAGCAAAGGGCTGATGCAGATGTATTCGGGGCCTCATTTTTGCACTGCCAGATCGATTGGCAAGTCTTTTTGTCACAAGCCACGTAAAGGGTCAGAGGTCTTAGCAAACAGCCTCTAAGCCGGGTTATAAAAACCCCCCACAAAAGAACTTTAGGACCCGATAAAACCTTTTTTCTTAAACTCAAGCTCAAACTAGCACAACAACAGAAGTGATCGCAATGCTTCAGTGGTGATGACCACTCTGGGCTGTACATGCAGGACGGGATGTGGGTGCAGGCCCTTTTTTTGAGCAGGGGCTGTGGTGCGCATGCCCTCAACACAGAATTCCCTGACTTGGGTATCTTCGGGTCTCCTGAGCAATTATGCTGCCAATCATTGCCGCCGCTATGCCTACCCAGCTTGAAACCCGAATAAACTCCCTGGAACAAATCCGAAGCCCATAAACCCCCTTTCGCAAGCGCTGAACTAGGACTACTGAGCTCCTGCAAACCCAAAGCCCTTTCGAAGCCGGACTTGATAACTGCCAGCATTGCCTCAGCTGCCGTTCTCAACCCAAAGCCCTGAAACCCCAAGTCCTAAGCTTCATCAAAGCCACAACCCTAAGCCCCACCAGCAGACGAGTTTCAGAAACTGAGGGAACGTTGTAAGGAACCCGCAATGAGGATCCCGATATACCAGGGGCACCAGAATAAGGTAAACTCGGAAACTCAACCCCTAGACCCTAAACCCTAAACCCCATAGAACCCTTTAAAGGAACCCTTAAAGGAACCCCTTATAAACCCCCACTTATAAATACCCATGAACCTCAGGCCTCGTGGTCCGGCAACTCTGAAACCCTAAACACTCAGCCCGATGAAACCCCTTAGGGTTGAGGGTTTAGGGTTTAGGGTTTAGGGTTTAGGGTTTAGGGTTGGCCTCGGCCATTGTGGCGGCCAGGATCGCCAGGGCAGCACCGAGGCTGTGTCCCGTGAAGACCTCGAAACGGGGTCCTAGGCCTACAGTTTAGGGTGTTAAACGCTGTTGGGTTTAGGGTTTCGACTCTCACTCTCGTGAAAGTAAGTTGGCGAGGTGAAGCAGTGGTTCAAGGTTTAGGGTTTAGGGTTTAGGGTTTAGGGTTTAGGGTTTAGGGTTTTATTCTTTGAGTTTGGGCTTCGATCTATTGAATTTGGGATATGGGTCTGCAGTTTGGGGTTTGGATTTTCGGGCTGAGGGTTTAGTTTGAAAGGACTTTTCGTTGGGTTTATGGTGGCGGACTTGACGTTCATCTCTCATACTCTTGTGGCCTGGTACTATAGAGTGTAACATGGTATAGGTATATCATAACATAGCAATACCGAGTATAACGTTGAATAGTATCGCATAACCTAAGATAGTAACAGAATTTCTGTCATGGCTCAACATTCAGCCTGTTTGTGCAGAACCTCTCTTTTGAACCTCAACCGAAACCCCAAACCCTAAACGCTAACATCAGGTTGTATCAGTGTTATAGAGCTGGGATTGCTTGCAACAACCCGGCCAACCAAAGCCGGGACATTGCAAGACTCGAGTTGAACACCAGCTGCAAACGAGGGGGCACACAAACGAAGGGTGACTTTGTTCAGTTTGTTCATCGCCAGAATGCCGTCATGAGTTGAGAACTCAAGAGCACAGCAATCTTACTAAGTTCGGCTGCTTTCGCTCGATCGCTTCGCACTTCGACGGTCCTACCCGACGACACCCCCCACACCAAAAACCCGAAAACAGCCCCTTAAGCACCATGAAACAACCCTAAACCCTAAACCCTAAACCAAACCTCTCTACGACGAAGACCTGATCGCCTCCGAGATGCGAGCTTCCAATAGCTGGGGATGCCAAACAGACCCTGCAAAGGGGGGATGGGGTTCAGGGGCTACGTAATAGAAGGGTGCCACAAGGTTACCACAAGGGCTTTTAAAGCGTGCTATTTTATGGGTTAGGGCTTTAGGATAATTTGTGGTTCAGTTCGGACTGCAGGGGATTAGCGAGGTGCCATGGCTTGGGGGGCAGAGGCTTTGATTCCCCCTGCCATGGAGCGACCTAGTACGTAAGCGTACACAAGAAAGTTTACGATACCATTATTAGTACATCAACAGAATCAGGGAACTTTTGCTGGGGCTTGAGACCCCCAATAGTACAGAGAGCAAGGACAGCAATGTGCCAAGTGCTCCTGTTAGACTGGGCCGGGCTTAGCGACAGTGTGCCTGCCGTCCAATTTTCGGACCCTATATCCTGCCAAGCCGTAATACCCAAAATCCTAGAACACTAGGTCATAGGAGACATAAGCAGACAAAGTAACCCCCAAATTATGTTGTCCTGCGTAGAGAACCCTGCTTAGATTAAAACCGACCAAGTGTACTACTGGTTTTCTAAGCCCTAAATTGAATTGCCAATACTATTCCTTAGGGTCTTAGGGGTTCCTTACTATGAGCATACAAAACTATCCGGAAAACCACATTCAAACTGTTAAGGCCTGGCCTTTATAGTATAGAACCCTCATACACCCCTGTTCAGGAACGCCTTCTGACTATGAACGCTTTCATTCCAAGCCCTCGACGTCGAGCGCGCTTTCTCTGTAAGTCGGCTCTTCGATTCGCCTGCTGGGGGCAAGCTGCCTTTGAAGCTGCCACTGCCAAGGCTTTAGGCGTGAGCTCGGTTTGCCTGGATTTTTGTCAGGGTTTGCCGGGCAACCAAGCATGAAAACTCGACACGACGAGAGGCCTGATTCCCAAGCCATCAAGAAAATGGATGAACAGCTCAAGCAGCTGCAACTGGGGAGAGTGTGCAGGGTTTCAGCCACCACTTCACTCACCAGGCCCGCAAGCTCTTGACTCTACCAGTGCTCTCTCTAACCCTGCGGTGCGAAACCCTGCACTCGAAAATCACTTCTTCGTGGTTCAACGCTTGGAGACATCGAACTTGATGCCCGTCGAGGCCTGCGCACACAGCATGCCGTGTGACACAGCACGTGTGTGTTTCTATATATGTATACAGTATACACATACACACACACACACATACCTACAACATACATCCATCCATCCATGCATGCATGCATGCATACATGCATGCATGCATGTAAATGCTTACATACACTGCTTTCTTGCGTGTGTTTACGAATGTGGCAAGATTACTAAAGCAGCTGTGATGTGCTCTTTTGCGAGCGCAAACAGAGACTCTAACTTAGGTCTTTAGGTAATCCGCCTTTTGTTTACTACTGGGCTCAAGTCTACTTCGAGGTTCATGGGTAGCTATAAATGGAGTTATAAGTCCCCTAATAGAAGTTATAACTACAGTTACCCTACTTATAACCCTACTTAAAACTACCCAAGAACCTCCATGTACACACTACCCTAAACCCGAAACCCTAAACCGTGGCCCCTCAACCTTCAACCCGAACACCAGAGCCAGTCCGCGATTCCCCAAACCCCGAGCCCAGGTAACAACCTCTGCCGAGGCCTCGCTGGCCGCCCACAGCATGTTTTGGGCGACTTCATCCGCGAGGGGCTCCTCCACATCTTAGGGTTTCAGCACTCACAACTGGGACAAGCCTGGCGAGGTTCCAAGTACGACGGAAGCACATTGGCCGGGGCTGGTAGGTTCACCATCCCAAACACAACGACTCAAAGTCACAAATGTCTTTTTTCCCACCCACAAATGTCTTAGGGTTTAGGGTTTAGGGCTGACTTATGTAAACGCCCTGATCACTAGACCTTCCCGCGCCCCTCATGACCAGGGCTTTAGACCGGCATACTGACATACATGTGGCCGTGAGAATCCCAAAGAGGTGCACACCCACTTCCCCTGATAGGGACTAACGAGCGAATCCACAAATCCTTGCCCTTGGAACAGAAGGTGCTTGTTTATCAAAGGTGGGCATCATATGACCCGAGAGCCCAGACAAACAAATGCCTCATTAGGCAGTTGCCGGGCTGCAAGGGCAAGTGAATTCGAGAGCACCCGATGCATGCACATGCGGAACAGACTACGTAGTACAAGAATAACCTGAATGCTGAAACCAAGGAACAACATTACATGCGAAGACATCGGTTTGACATGAGCTGGGTTGCGGGTTACGTCCGCGCCCGACCAACGCTGATGCTTGCACGCATGTGGTTCTGCGAGCTCTGCAGCAGCAGGGTGCATTAACGAACTAACCTGCTTAGTTACAACGTCATTACCTACTTCTTGAACTGACTCAGTAGCTACCGAACTACCTGCATCTACCTGCCTTCCGAACTCCCTGCCTTGCTACCTGACGACCTCGGCATCGAGCTACCTGGCTAGCTAGCTGGCTAGCTAGCTGCTACCTACCTGCCGACCTGACAATGACACACAAGACTGACAAACTGAATAATCGAGTAACGAACTAAATTAATGACTGACTAACTGACTCACAAACACAGAAGATGCACATTCATGCATGCGGTGACTTGTGTGTATGCATACATGTGCAAGTATAGCTAATAGCACAACCGGCACAAACACATGGACATAACGCCCAAGTACCACTTCTTGCATCATGCTAACTCATACTAAAATCAAGGCGACATGCATTTGATGTTGTTGCACTAAACCCTAAACCCTAAACCCTAAACCGCCATAGCTTCGCCCTTCATTCGAAGCCGCTCATCCCTTGAAGCTCACGGCCAGTTTTGCAGTGAAGCCCTGGCCTGGGAGTAGGACTACCGGTTTAGGGTTTAGGGTTTAGGGAGTTTGGGGTTTAGGGTTTAGGGTTTAGGGTTTAGGGTTTAGGGTTTAGGGTTTAGGGTTTAGGGTTTAGGGTTTAGGGTTTTCCGAGACGTCTAAGTAGAGGCAACACAACTACACATGTTACATGCTAGACACTACATCGGACCTGTTATATGCTATGTCTTATAACCCATCTGTCATATATTACAACTTACTCTTTATGCATCCCTTATAGCCCGCGTATTAACTGACGTAACTCGGCTCCTTTAGCAAGTAGCAGCTCCTGCTCTTAAGGTGGACCTCAGAAGTTCACGGCCACAAAACTCCGGCTGAAAGACTTCACGCCCCCCAAACCCAATAAAGAGAGGCCTCAAAAATTCTAAATGGGTTTTGGCCAAAACATACTACCCGAATAACAAGGAACTCCCAAGATACTATTGGTAACCATTTAGGCCCGATATTGTGTAGTAGCACATGTGCAATGCAGGGACAGTCCCATCACGAAAGCTCTGCGACAAGGAACCACGAACCGGACACTACCCAAACACAAGCCAAGTCTTTGAAGCATCAACTCCATACGGGAGTTTCCGAAATTACAAGGAATTCTCCCCAACATAGACCCAAAATGGTATAGGATTCATTGTGAGGAAGGGACCCCTGAAATCAGGTACTGTGCCTTGTCTGGAACCCCTAAACCCTAAACCCTAAACCTTTTTCAGCACGGACTGAGGTGCCGGCCAGCGCCCATGCAACCCTCACCCCTAAACCCTAAACCCTAAACCCCGGTGCTCCTTCTTGAGAAGCCCAACGGGTCCGTTGTACTCAGAAGTGTCGTGAGTTCCCGTGGCACCGCCTGAGGGTCTCGCAAGCTGCGCAGTAGCCGTGAAGAGAGGGCGGTTTAGGGTTTAGGGTTTGGGGTTTAGGGTTTAGGGTTTAGGGAGCAGCTTCAACTGATTAGCCAGCTTGGCCATCGCTGCGCTACTTGTATCTTTATCGAGTCAGTAATTGTCGTCGTCATAGCAGGAGGAGCAAGAGGAGCAGGGGAGTAGCAAACCACAGGGGTTTCTATTCAGAATACTTGGAGGTTCATGGGTAGTTATAGATGGGGTTATAAGTAAGGTAACTATAGTTATAACCCATATTAGGGGACTTATAACCATACTTCTAACTACCCATGAACCCTAAACCCTAAACCCTAAACCCAAACCGCATAGAACCCTTTAAAGGAACCCTTAAAGGAACCCCTTATAACCCCACTTATAACCATACTTGTAACTACCCATGAACCTCCAAGTACCCACACGAATACCTCGAGTCAGGGTCTCAGCAACCGTTGTTTCTGTAGCCCCGCCTACAGCATAAGCTGAGGTGACCCTCACACGAACCAGAGGTCAGAAGCAGAAGATGGTCTAAATCCTGAGCCTTGCAGTGAGGGCCGGCAGCTCAAAATCCGAAACTCTGCACGGTCTACTTGGAGGTTCATGGGCAGTTATAAGTGGGGTTATAAGTCCCCTCATATGGGTTATAGTTATAACTTGAAATCCCATTTATAACTACCCGTGAACCTCCAAGCAGGGTTTAGCGTTTAGGGCGACCTACCTCAACTCGAAAGCGCTTTAAACTCCCCTAAACCCCACGCGCCTTTTCCCAAAGGGCCATAGAACTCACCCGACTTGGCTTCCGGATCGCAAGCATTCCGCAGAATTCCAACAGTCGCCTCAGCGCGAGTTCAGGGGTCCACAATCCAAGCTATACTACAAGAACTAATACACTACTGAATACCTGTACTTACCAATAATGATGATCTCGACCTGCCCGCCCCCAAACCCACTCTCCGGGATCCCTCAAAAGTGGATCACTGAGCTGGTGGCATCCTCCTCCGACTGGCCCATGAAGCTGATCATTCTGCTGCCTCGAGGGTTTAGGGCTTACGGTTTAGGGTTTGGGGTTTAGGGTTTGGGGTTTAGGGATCTGATTGGCGTCAGAGACGATGATACATGCGGAGGTATATGCAGGTTATGGTTGGTATCCTATCTATCTACCTATCCAGCTAATCGTCTCTTTTTAAAAGGAGCTGCAGTGCACATGCCTTCATGCCCAGCCATCCATCATCTAAACCCCACAACCTTGACCCCTTGCCCGGAACACCAAGTT